CTGACTGTGGGGGTGACAGGTGGATTGGATTGTCACCCCCTCCCCCCGCGCCTGCTGCTTATTTCATGCCCTGCAGCCCAGCCACCGGGAAGGGGCGGGAGGAGGGATGACAGCTGTCTCCAGCACCTCCTGCCTTCCCCTGCAGTCCACAGCCTGCAGCCCTGAGCAGCCTGGGAGGGAGGGATAAAGGGCCTGCTTAATAAGAGCTGCCTCTCTTGCTGTGCGGAAGAGCAAGGTTGAAACCCAGTGCTCTGTGACAGGGAGCTGCTCACTCAGCCTCTCTGGGCATCTCCTCCATTTTGACCTGCACTGCTATGGCAGCTTAGGAAGCAGATGCCCTGCAGGTCTTTAAGCCTCTGGGCCACTGGCACAGTGGGCAGATTGGGGCAAAGGCGAGGCAGGTACTTCCCTGACTACAGCTGGAGAGAGGGAAGGGGTCATCTGCTGGGAGGCACCTCTGCAGCTCCCCAGGAAGGGCCCTGCTGCAGCTGCAGCTCCGAGGCTGCCCTGACCGCTCCCCCCTCCTCACTGGCCCCAGGCCACCCTCACACAGGAACTGAGATAGCATCATTCTGAAACCTGAGAATGGTTTGAATATTGCTCAGGTACCAAGAAGTGTTAACATTGGGGGAGGCAGGGACCTATTTCTTTTCACATGCCCCTCCAAACCAAGACCCCCTTTAGGGTACATTTTACATATTATTTGTACCTCATTTGCATGTAAATAACAACCCATAGCTTCCCTTTGGGTCTGTAGCCTTGCTTGGAAAAATGCCTGTCCTCCTTGAGGTCCTTCTGGATCCCCCACCATCTCTAGTTCCCTCAGGCCCACCTCCTCATCAGGGGTGTTGTCAGAGGAGCCTCCTGTCCTGTGCCCTCTCTGCTCTCTGTTTGCTAAGGCTTCTCAGTAACCACCCTTCTCCGCAGACGTCGTCCCTGGGGCTAGGCCCAACTGCCATCCTCTCTCCCTCTTTGCTCCTTCTGTCTCCAAAGGAGAGGTTCCTGCCTCCACCTGCCCCCATTTCCCACCCCGCAGAAGGTCCACTCTGTCCAACCCTGTCCTGCCAGCACTGCCCCAGTGGGTGAATCGGAATCAGAAGCAAGCAGGAGGAGCCTTCGAGGGGTACTTTCAGTGACACAGATGCTGCCAGCCACAGGAGCTATAGCTGTGGCCTGAGGTCAGGATTGGGTAGGCCCTGGGGCCATCAGAATAGGAACTCCATCCTGACCGAGCCCTTGTTTCCATGGCAGCCCTAAGCCTACCCAAGCCTTGGGCATCAGGAGAAGCAGCCAAAAGCCAGGTCATCTGGGAAGGCTTCCTGGAGGAAGAGCAGGCTGAAAGGGAGGTGAGAAGTAGGGACAGGTCAGGCTAGGGAGAAAAGACTCACATCTGGAGAACATGCCCAGGCCTCTGGCTCATGGCATTTGGCTAGGTAATTAGGCAGAGGGCTAATGAAGGAGGTCCAGGTGTTCATTAAAATCTTCCTAATTGAGTAGAAGGGAAGTGTGAGCAGGATAGGCCTCCATACCTTGGATAGGGTCCACTTAGGGTCCTTTGTGCCCACCCAAGCCTCAGCCACCCCTTCTTGCAAGTCAGGGCTGAGTCCCTGTTCTTGCCCCAGGGCTTTCGGTGACTGTAACAATGTGGAGTAGAGAACAAGAGGAGAAAGAAGATTAGTGCAGACTGAGCCTGCTTTATAGGAGCGCTCCTGGTCAGATAGGACGAAGGACTGCCTTAGGCAGGGCCAATCCTTCCCTGGCAGTGTTGGCATAGAGGTGGAAGCAGCAATGGGAAGGGGCCCTGAGAACATGCAGTTATAAAAAAGTGCTTTGGGCGACTGGCAGACACTGGGGTTAGAGCGGGCCCTGTCTTCCCAACCCTGACTTCTCTCTGTCAGAGGATGTTCAGTAGGTCTCTGTGGCTTCCCTGTCTTCTCAGCCCTGATCCCTCTTGCATCCCAGCTCCCCCAGCATGAGGTGGGGGTAGGGGGGTGTAGGAGATCAGCCAGGGAGCTGGTTGCCAGGCGACAGTTGCCTAAGCAACCCCATCCTCTCTATTTCCATGTGCTCAGGGCTGCTCCTTAGAAGACTTTAGAGTCTCACCCTCTGCATCAGCCAGCCTGGGAGTGTGGGGGGAGGTCAAGGACTGGAGTGGCAGGGGTAGTTGGAGGGTAGGTGGTGCCCAAATGGACAAGCGTCAGGGACAGGTGGGAGGGGAGTTCTTTCTCCACCGAGGACAGTGAGAGGAGCTGGTCCTGCAGCAGGCCTGACAGAAGTTAAACCACAAGAAGGACTTCTAATAGTCACAACAACAAAATAATCCTTCCTTTCAACAGATAGTTCCGGAGCTCCTCCTTCCAGGGCATAGAGTGGAGAAAAGGACAGAGGGGGTTCCTGCCCTCATGGAGCTTCCGTCTCATGCAGAGCCAGGCATTAAAGTGAAACACAGAAATGTAATTACAGTTGTGGTAAGTGCTAGGAAGAAAAGAACAGGACACCCTGAGAGTAAATAATTGGGGGAACCAAAGCAATGAGGTTAGATTGCAGGAGAGGTTCTCTCCCGACTTGGAGAAGGGATGGGATTGGCCGTAACCTGGCAGAGGTTACATTTCAGCAAGATTTTGCTATGAACAAAAGGTGGTGAGAGGAAGATAGTAAACTGGAAGAGAAAGGGAAGGCAGGCATCGTAAGCCAGAGGTGTGCCACAGTGACTGCCTTTACCATACTGGATCGGGGTTTTCAGGGCCAGGCTAGAGAAGCTCATTTAAAAAGACCTCTTCTTAGCATCTCCGTGCCCTCAAGGTGGCCTCACCACCTGCCCTGTCGAGCCCATACCCTTTCAGCTGTAGAAAATACAGTCTTTGGGTTGTGCTGGGAAACGAGAGCCAAAACCCTTGGGCTGGGCATTGCCGTGGTGGGGTAGAGCCTGGCGGTTGTCAGAGATGGGGATCATAGGCAAGGAGTGGGGTGGCTGCTGGGCCACCCAGGGCTGGTTGGGCATTGTTGTTGGTGTTATCCTAGGGGGTGTGTATGGGGGTGACAGTAGAAGGTCTAGGGCCCATTGAGCACCTGAGGAAGAGGAGGAGGGTTCTAGGATCCCTCTCTGGGGAGAGAGAGAGGGCTTGCAGGGTTCTTCTAGGAGTGGACAGGGAGCTACATTATTTTCTGAAGATAGCTGGACAGAGCAGAAGCTCTTTTTCCAGCTAGACTAGGGAAAGCCTGAGGGACAGTCCTGGTAATGGGGAAGGGTAGGGAGCGGTATTCCTGGCTCCTCCCAAGGTCATAGATGTCTCTGCCTTCCTTTCCCTCCATGGCCAAGATGCCAACACATGAACCCGGGTACCATGGTTGACTGGAACTGCAAGGGCCCAGGGAAACTCGGCAGCTATTAGAGAAGAAGGCTGGGCAGGGGCTTCCTGATCACAGGTGTGTCTGTCATAAAGCACTCAAGGGACCCCTCTGCCCAGGCTGTGGAGGATGTCAGACAGAGGTTCCCTGGACACCTCTGCCAAGGCTGGGGCAGGTGAAAGCCCACCGGGACTGTGCAATGTGGGGTCTCTGGCTCCACAGAAGGGGAGCTCTGGAGGGGAGGACTGGACTTCGTTGGCTGTCTTCCTCTCAGGACCCCGTCAGAGTGGGTTAGGAAGCATGGTCCGTGCTCCCTGCTCCCTTCCACCAGGAAGGCCCCACCTCTGAGCCTGCTGGAATCACAGAGATGGAGGGTCATCTCATGCCTTCATTCCACCCCAGGCCCTTCCAGTACCCAAGAGCTACTGCAGCCTGTTTGGCACTGTACACATCTGAGAGCATGTACTTTTTCTGGGTCAGGCTGGACTGCCATTCCCGTGCTTCCTCCCATCCTGGTTCTGGGCTTGGAGCCTTCCAATCCTGGTGGGCCGTGGCTGACTTATAGAGGTACTGAGATGGGGATCTCTCTATCTGGTTTCTGCATCCCCCGGCTGCCAGCAGCCTCCTTTGTGTATGTCAGTAGGCTCTGTATTTTCTCTGTGTGCTTCAGAGTGAATAAGGTTGGGAAGCATTCCTGACAGTGAACTTGGGTTCTATACTTGGTGCAGTTCCTCTAGAGCAGGAGTCAGCAAACTATGACCCATGGGCCAAATCTGGCCCAGGCCTGTTCTTATAAATCTAATTGTCATTGGAGCACAGCCACCCTCGTTCATTTATGTGTCATCTACAGCTTCTTTCACGCTACAATGGCAGACTATATGGCCTGCAAAGCCTAAAATAGTTATTTGGCCGTTTACAGAAAAAATTGGTAGACCTCTGGTCTAGAGGAGTGGTTTGTTTATATTTTTGTATATTTATTTATTTTAAGCAACAGAACCCTTTCTTCAAACAAATTTTAGGCCAAGGCCCACTGATAGAGTTGTAAAAACAATTGGTTAAAGGAAGACAGGGACTCTGTAGCCCCAGCCCCACTCTGGGACCCCAGACTCCAGGGTTCCATGAGCTGGGTGTGAGGACTGCTGCTCTAGACCTGCTCTGGTATGTTCTTGAGCCAGGGGACCCAAACACTCCCATCCTGGCACCAGATGCACGGTGCTAGCTCTTTGTGGCTGTGGCAGGTATACACTCAGCTCATTCTCTGCAGGAGGCTCTTGAACTAGAAGCCCTGTTCTAGGCCAGAGGGGCTGCTGGTGAACCCAGTTACCTCTACTTGGAGTGGGCTGGGGTGTTCTTTACGACGCAGACCCTTAGAAGCCAGGAAGTTCCCATATTCTGTGTGACCTAGAATCTGAGGGCAACAATGATAGTGTGGAAAGCGGCTGGACCACAGTCCTGTGCCCTGAGTGTGAGTTCCAGCTTGTGCCTGGCTATGACATGCCATCACCTCAGGTCGTAACATATCTGCATTTTGAGGATGGTGTTCAGACCCTGCTGGCCTCTTACAGGGGTGCTGTGAGCCTGGCATGTGTGCCCAAGGAGCAAGGCAGAGGGTTGCCAGAGCTAACAGTCCTCCTGTGACCCTCCCCTCCCAGGAGGCTGTACAGAAGGTGTCCTGTAGACCATGAACTGAACACTGGTCCCAGACTGTTCATGAGCAGAGTTTAAGGTGTGCCTACACCACCACCCAGCGATCCCCTCCCCGACTTAGCACTGAGGATCCCCGGAGAAGATGGGGAGGAAAAAGATTCAGATCCAGCGAATCACTGATGAGCGGAACCGACAGGTGAGGAGGTCGGGGAGCCACAGAGAGTGGGTGAGGTGAGGGAGCTGGCCTCTGCCTCCACTGAAGCCACTGGGAGTGGGGGCTCTGGAGGCTATCACAGAAGGTGAAGGGCTGGGTTGGGAGAAGAGGAGCCCCACCTCCCTATGGCTCTTAGAACCCTGTGTCCCAGAACCTAGAGGCTCATCTGCAGCTGCAACCAGACAGACCTGTGCTTCAACCCAGAACCATGTGCAAGCCCCAGGCCACGCCCAGGCAGGCCCCCTTTCCTGATGATGCTCCCCTCTTCCTACCCCCATGGGAGAGCCCAGAAGCCCCTCTCTTCTCCTTCCTGACCTCTTTAGAGCTCCCAGCGCAGAGTTGTGGAGTTCTGTCCATCTAAATCCTCTCCCTTCAGTGCATTGGCTCTGGGCTGTGTCTCGCCCAGGTGTTAGCAGAGAGGTATGGGCCTATTCTTTCCCCAGACCAGGGGCTCCTGACAACAGGGCTGTGTCACCCTGAGAATGGGGGCTCCCGAGGCAGGGTCTGTGACCAGCTACCTATAGGCTGGGACTCCTGGGCAGGCCTGGACTGAGCCAGACCTGGCCACCGACCCGCCCACCTGCAGGTGACATTCACCAAGCGGAAGTTCGGGCTGATGAAGAAGGCATACGAGCTGAGTGTGCTCTGCGACTGCGAGATTGCGCTCATCATCTTTAACCACTCCAACAAGCTGTTCCAGTACGCCAGCACCGACATGGACAAGGTGCTGCTCAAGTACACGGAGTACAACGAGCCGCACGAGAGCCGCACCAATGCCGACATCATTGAGGTGGGCGCCCACGCACGGCCCTGCTCCTGCTGCAGCTGCTCACGAAGTGCCCGTGCAGCACACGCGCAGACCTGCCTGTGCACACACAGGTGTACGCCTGCCCCTCGCAGCCACTCACCTATGTGCACACATGTATAAACCCACATCCTCTCACGTAAGCCCCGTGTCTGAGGAGGAAGGAGGGGCAGCAAGGTGGATGTCAGTGGGCCTGCCTGCCAGCCCGCTCCCACTCTAGCCCCCTCTGAGAGTCTTTCTTCGTGCCTGTCAGGCATGACATGACATCTCTCTGCTCTGTCCTCTTGAATTCTCTGTCTCCCCTCCTCACGTTGCAGCTTTTGGTCTGCTCTTGCATCTGACTCTTCCTTCCTTTGTCGCTTTCTTGGTTGCTGTCTTCCCTGCTTTTTCTCTGTCCCTCTGGCTCAGTTTCTGTTTCAAAGAGAGGGGGCGTTGTGAACCGTTGCACATGGGTTTGGAGTCCAGCTCTGGCCTTTATTGGCCACGTGGCCTTGGGCAGATGGTTTAGCTTCCCAGAGCCCTGAAGCCCACCTCCAAAGAATGGGGCCGGTGCCTGCTTTGAAGGGCAGTGTGTGAATTGAACGAGATAGCCCGATTTGCTTCCCGCACTGAGGTATGCATGTCTTGGGGGTACAGAACTTTTGCCAGTGGAGAAGGTGCCCGGGAGTGACACTGAAAGATTTGGAGGAAATTCCCTTATTTTTATATTAAAGAAAACAAATTTTCTGTAGAGCAGAATATAAAATTGGCATTAATTTTTAAGACAAAATAAGTATCTTTGAAGGTGTTTTGAGCATGGAGAGGGCAGTTGTGCAGTGTACTCCAGACCTACCACGTGTGCCTCTCTTCTGTGTGGACATGTGAGAAGCCTGACCTCTGGGCAAGGACAGCATATGGTGTGGTACATAGTAGGAGCTTCATAACTGCTAGTTCCTCTTTGCCTTTCTCCCCCTTACTCCTCTCCCTCTCGGTCTCCATCTCTATTTCTCTCTCCCACCTCTCATACACAGAGCCTAGGGACTGAGTTGGGCAAAGCCAGCCCTGACACCTTCCCCATGGGGGTGCTCCGTGCCTTCTGGCCAGGGCTTGCCGAAGGGTGGTCAGGCAGGGGCTGGCCCAGAGCACCAGCCCCTCAGCCTATCCCCCAGAGAGCCCCCTTCCCACCTATCACTTGGAAGCACATGTCTGTGTCAAGTTCTTTCCCTGGGTTAGTACCACCTTCCATGTGACCTCCCTCATCAACTGCATAGTCAGTCACACAGTGCTCTAGGAGGGGCGAAGGTGACACTGATGGAGAGGGCTGGTGAGATGCAGGGAACCTTAAGGAAGGAAGTTGGGAAAACGTCGGGGGGTCTCAGGGAAGGGCTGTAAGGACCTCAGGGGCAATGGGGCGGGGAGGCCCCTCTCCCCACTGACGGCAGTGGTGCGGTTACAGACCCTGAGGAAGAAGGGCTTCAACGGCTGCGACAGCCCGGAGCCCGACGGGGAGGATTCGCTGGAACAGAGCCCCCTGCTGGAGGACAAGTATCGGCGCGCCAGCGAGGAGCTGGACGGGCTCTTCCGGCGCTATGGGGTGAGCCCCACTCACTCTCTCTCTGTTGGCTCCCCCCTTCCGGCCCCTTCCCCACCAGGCGCTGCACAAGAAGCACAGGGAATGTGAGAGCCCTGAGGTGGACGAGGTGTTTGCCCTGACCCCCCAGACGGAGGAGAAATATAAAAAGATAGACGAGGAGTTTGATAAAATGATGCAGAGTTATAGACTGGCCGTGAGTAGTCGCATGGAGGAGAGGCTCCCTGTGGTGCATGGTGTGGCTTCGCGCCCCGCCCCGGCCCTCGGCTGCCTCTGATGGATGTTCTGCTCTGAGCCATGCTGGGGCTATTAGTGACCACTGAGGAACCTCTGACCTTGGCCGTGATAAACCTGTGACCCTTGATGAGACTCATCTTGGATGGAGCATAAGCTGGGACAGGCCTGGAGTGTCCCGCTCCCCAGCAAGAAGTGTGTAGATGATGTGAGATCCTTATATAACAGGAAACTAGAGAATGTACTCTTTGTCCAGACCTCTTGGGGAGAGGCCCCCATGGGCCTGCTGACACCGAGCCAGAGATACTCAGTAGCATTGTTTAGTGGAGACGGAGACTGCTAGAGAGGAAGGCAGTGAGGTGGGGTGAACACCTGCTGCTGCAGGCCGGACGGACAGGAGACTGCAAGTGGAACAAGGTCCTGTCCACGGCACAGGCCTTTAACAGCTGTGTGTGTGAGTGCGGGTCTGTACGAGGGGCCTCTAACCTGCTCCCTGTGTGTCCTGCCTGGCTGAGGACTAACCCACCTCTACTAGGAGCTTCCAGGTGTCCCTGGTCCTGTTTGCAGTGGGCAGAGCCTTGTTCTCATTCTCTAGGCCAGAGATGATCCCCAAGCATTCCCACCAAAGTGCTTCCTTGGTGGGAATGGCAGGCAGGACTCTGAGAGGGCCCAAGGCAGAGATTGAGCTGTTGGGCCTAGGACGCACAGCCCAGAGACTAGAGCCCTTGCCTGGACTCTCTGGCAGAGTAGGACCAAGGTAAGGTGGCATCCTGGCCTGACCCTGCCTTTCCATTTTCTGTCTAGTCAGCTGTCCCGGCCCCCAACTTTGCCATGCCTGTCACGGTGCCCGTGTCCAATCAGAGCTCACTGCAGTTCAGCAATCCCAGCGGCTCCCTGGTCACTCCTTCCCTGGTGACGTCATCCCTCACCGACCCACGGCTCCTGTCCCCTCAGCAGCCAGCACTACAGAGGAATAGTGTGTCTCCTGGCCTGCCCCAGCGGCCAGCCAGTGCCGGTGAGTGGCCTGTAAGTGGGTGGGCAAGGTGTGGTGAGGACTTAGGAGATTCCATTTTCAATTGTGAATACTTCCTTCACACACCCCAGCCCACCACGCCTTCTCCTGGTTAGTGGCTCCTGAGAAGGGACTGGCTCTGGGAAGGGGTGTCCTGTCAGCTCATCGTGGTTCTTTTTTTCCCCCAGGGGCCATGCTCGGGGGAGATCTTAGCAGTGCTAATGGAGCCTGCCCCAGCCCTGTCGGTGAGTATGGCTGCCCTTGCGCTTGGGGTAGGACCTGCCTGCTCAGCAGCTCCAGGTCCACAGACCAGGAATGGCTAGATTAGAAAAGAGGAGGATCCCAGGGCCTGAATTGAATGTACAGTCTGAGGATTTTTAAGCCCTGGAGTTTTTTGTCTAGTGGTAAACTGATGTGGATAGGTCAGCAGAGATGAAGGCTCAGGGAATCTGGAAAAACTGAGAAGGGACCAACATTTCTAGTTGGAGGAGAAGATCCAAGTCTTTTCAGTTGAGTTGGGGGCATCTGGCTGTGATCTGGAGGATGTGAATATCTAGTGTTGCCTACAGACACTAGGCATGGGCTCATACACACATACACACAGACATTCTCATGCTTATGGAAATATCCCAACATAAGATGTACACTTATGAGCAAACATCTAAAAGCCACAGAAGAAAGGCTGCTCCCCTATACCCCCCAGTCCTGCAGCCGACAGCCCCTCCTACCCTGTGCTGTTGTCCAACTGGTGACTATGACTTCGAATGTCACCATTGACGTCACCCTGACATTCCTGCCATTCCCAGAGTGATCCGCGAATTGGAATGGAAGCAGCCACACACTTCTACGGCAACAGTGTGTTCTCAAGGGACAGAGCAAGGTGACATTCTGACTGAGATCACCCCCACATCTCTGGGCTTTAGAGTCCCTCAGTCTATCCCAGGCACCACAGAATATCTCCTTAGCAATAACTGTGTACTGGGGTCAGGAAATTGGCAGAATGGGTGAATACTCCTCGCTCTCCAAGGAAAGGGCCCAAGAAATGCCTGCAGACCTTAAGGAAACAGTGATACTTGCTGGCTCGCAAGGCCAGCATGTAGATAGCTGGTGAGAGCCCAGCATGGCCTCCAGCCAGCTGTGTGGCCCTGGACGAGTCATTACACCTGTGCCAACCAGGCCTCAAGTTTCCTCTTTTGTAAATGGGGCTGACAATACGTGTCCTGTCTTGTCTTGCAGGGTTAGTGTGGGGATTAAATGAGGTAATATGCATGTAAAAGCCCTATGTAGCTTGAGGAGTGTTGAGCATAAGTAGCAAATAGTTATTGTGTTTGTTATTATCTGTCTAACTATGGTGGTGACTGTGTTATCAGTCCCCCAGTGCCAGTAACAGCACCACCACTAGTGACCGGCTCATCTTCCCCAGAGCCGCAGGGATCTTGTCATCCAAATCTTGTGCTCATCCAAGTCACAGCATCTTCCACTCGTGTGGCAAAGGAGTGGTCTGAGTGCTTGTTTTGCCTTGGTGCCCAGAAGCCTCACTGGGGCCCACATTCCAGCCTTCCAGCCTGTCTCTAACCTGGGTTGTTGGGGGCCCAGAAGGTACTGGATTTCCTTTTTGGATACCAAGAGAAAAGGCAGGAGAGACTGGGCTGTAGAAGAACCTCGTGGCCATTGTGGTTTCCATTTCCTGTTCTTCCCACCAATCACAGGCCTCCTCCCACCCAGTCCATCACGCATAACTTAGAGGCCCAGGGATGAGCCCAGTGATTTAGGAGTAGGGGGTATTCTCCCTTTACTCCCAAGACAGGGTGGTTTTAGGGAAAATCAGAGAGCTCAGCACCCACTCAAAGCCTCAGCTTAGCTTTGTGAGGTTCTAGGTGGCAGGTGTCCTGGCGGGGGACAGTTAACAGGGCTGGGGGTGGGTCCATGTTTTTCCTCTTACCCTCATCTCTTCTCCAGGGAATGGCTATGTCAGTGCCCGGGCTTCCCCTGGCCTCCTCCCCGTGGCCAACGGCAACAGCCTAAACAAGGTCATCCCTGCCAAGTCTCCGCCCCCGCCCACCCACAGCGCCCAGCTTGGAGCCCCCAGCCGCAAGCCTGACCTGAGGGTCATCACTTCCCAGGGAGGAAAGGGGTTAATGCATCACTTGGTGAGTGGGCATCTGGGCCAAGGGGCAGGGGCTGGGGAATAGGTGAGTGAGGAAGGAGAAAAGACCTCTAGTAGGAGAGATGACAGTCAGCCAGTAATTAGGACTTGCCTAGAGAGATCATGGAAGCATGGCTTCTCATGAGTTCCTTCTTCCCAGAGAGCCTTACAAAAGGTTGAAACACAGAAATACCAGCCTAGAGGGCAGTAAAAAATGGGTAGGAGGTGGGAGAGAAGGTTCTGTGATGAGGAAGAGGATGGGAGAGATTTGCCGTTACAGATGGGAGGACTAGGTTGTGAGGATTTCCTAACTGGTGGACATTGGGGTATAGTACCTTCTGGAAATCAGGACAGTGGAAAGCTCTGTCCTTCTAGGATGGAGAGCCATCCTGCCTCTATGCAAAGAGGTAGATGGACTGGCTGTGGGGACAGGGGAATGATGGGGAGGGGGACAGAGGCCAGAGACTGAATCATCCCCTTGGTTTTATTTCTGCTCCCAGACTGAGGACCATTTAGATCTGGTAAGTGAGGCAATGAGATTTTTTTGCCGTGGCTTTGAATTCTGGGTGGGCCAGCATGGAGTGTGTGTGCCCTCGCCCTTTCATCTGTGTGTGTAGTGCGTGTCCTTTGTTTGGTTATTTGCTAGGAGCTGTGCTTAGTGCCAAGTGGGATGCAGAAATGAATGGGGCAGGGCTATGAGGGGTTAGACCTGCATGTGTGTGTACCTGTGTGTACATAGATGTCTTTATGTGATGTTGCATTCATGTACACACATGCCATGGTGTGGGCCAGCCCCAGACCTTAAAGGTCCCATCTGGATGTGTATCAAGATGCCTGGATTAGGCCGTTGGACCACAGGCTGGCCCACACTTGCCCTCTGACCCTACTCAGTCCCGTTGAGCATTCTCAGGACCCAGGATAAGGACCTCTTTAGGGAGGTGCCAGCCAGACAATGACTTCGATTTCCCAAGGGAAGCTGAGACCCAAGGCAAGCCCGGACTTGTTCTTGGTGGGGACCATCCCCTCTCCCCTCTGTCCCCTTGTGCTCAGTCTTGCACACGGCCCGCCTCACAGGCACTCAGAGGCATGCGCAGCCGCTCTTGTGTGCTCACACTTACATGCTCAACCTGAGCCAGGAGTGGGGCGGGGGCTCCTCCCTCCCCAGCTCCCTGTCGGGAGGCCAGAGAGGCTGGAAAAGGCAGGCAGGCTTTGGCGGCCAATACCGCAGCAGTTTCGGCCCCAGCGTGGAGTTGGAATAAACAAGTGAGTCAGCGGCAGATGGAGCTGACAGCCCCACACACGTGTGTGCATACACGCAGGCACATGCCACACCAGGCCCCACGTTCCCCTCACAGATGCCAGCACACTTCTACAGGGTGTGTGCTGAAGAGGGATGGATGGGGAGAGCAGCCCCAGAGGGACCAGCCAGGAGAGGAGTGTCTCTCCCTCCTCCCAGCCTGCCTGAGGAGGCTGGGCGTTGTTGGGGCTACAGAGCCAGCATACACGCCTTACTCTTTGCATGTGTGTAGGTGCGAATGGATTTGAGTGTGCATGTTTCTGCCTCTGGATCTCAGTGTCTCTGTGATTGCCCCAGCATATGTTTGTGTATATGTAGGGACCTCCATGTTGAGGCATCCCCACCTGGGCCCTGCAATGCAGGGACCTTAGCTGGGCCTTGAATGAAAGGCTAGGGCAAAGTAGCCCACCTGTTTGCCACCTCTTGACAGACAGTTTTCTCCTGCAGAACAATGCCCAGCGCCTTGGGGTCTCCCAGTCTACCCACTCACTCACCACCCCAGTGGTTTCTGTGGCAACGCCGAGTTTACTCAGCCAGGGCCTCCCCTTCTCTTCCATGCCCACCGCCTACAACACAGGTGAGTGTTCATGTGACATGTAGCTGGGTGCATTTGACTTTGGGGCAAGGGAGGGAACATGAAATGCTCCCCGGGGTGTGCCCCAGTCTGAGGCAGGCCGTTGATTTGCACGATCCCCTGCTTGATTAAGGTGGCCAGATTTAGCAGATAGAAACACAGAATGCCCACTCAAATTTACATTCCAGATAAAACAATGAATAGTTTTTCAGTCTGTCTCAAAGACATTTTTCTGCTAAAGTGTGTCCCAAAGAACATATGCTAAACAGTTATTCATTGTTTTCTGTCTGAAATTCAGATTGAACTGGGTATTCCTTATTTTTAATATAAAACCTAATGGAAGAGGGAGGCCCTGTCCTTAGGGAGCCTCTGTCCGAGGAGGAGTCAGGCCAGAGGCGGGTTGAGCAGCTGATTCAGGCTGACCGTGGTTGGGGAGTGGGGAAGGGGACAAGGTCAGTTCAGCAAGGCTTCTTGGAGGAAAAGAATGAAGGAATGAGGGAGGGAAGGGACAGGGAGGCAGAGGAGCCCAGAGAGGAGACATGGTCACAAAGAGTCTTCCAGTGTCCTGGGAAGATGAGGTGGGGGCTCCGGAGCAGGGAAGAGGAGGAAGAGGAGGGTCCCTCACCCTGACTTTGGCTTGGGATTGGAGTGGCAGGAGCGAGGAAGGGGGAGGGTGAAGGTTGGGGAGAGGTCTCTCAGTAGAAGAAACCATACGGAACACCCCGTGCCCTCCCGTCCTGGGTCCCCAGGGCTGTCCTGGCCTGTGTCACCCACTCACACCTTCCCAGAAGCAGTCCGGGATACTCTCAGCCACCCTTGCCTGCTCTCCAGTCAGCTGTCTGAGGAAGGATTTTCCAGTGAGGAAATGCCTTGTCACCTTGTTTCAGAGCATTTGTGTGGCTGGGAAGGAAGTCTGTTTCCCACCTAGGAGACCTGCCATCTCCCAGGTTCTGTCACCTATGAGTGGCTGTGTTAGAGCTCTTCTATGATGAGATGAGAGTAGACCAAAAACTTTCCCCCTTCCCACACCCCCCATTCCAGAGTTGAACCATGCTAGGTCTCAGACACCAGAACAGATACCCACAAAATTCCACCTGTGTGGAAATCCAGACTCCAGCCCTGTATATAGGAAAGCCCTTTGGGGCAGGTAAGAGAGCTGCCTCAGGTTGAGGGCCAGACTCTGCTGGTGGCATGTGTGTCTGGGTCCAGATTTATCATCCAGGTATCATAAAGCCCCTGTGTGCTCCCATGCCTGTGCCCACTTCCAGGTTATTATGTCCTCAGGCAGCTTCAGAGAAGACCGTCTGAGATGGCTGTGCAGCCCTGGGGCCGGGCTTCTCACCTGTAAAAGCTGTGGGTGGACAGGCAGCCAGTGCCCTCTGGGGCCTAACTAGCAAAGCTGGCCCCCTGAGGGTGGGCAGGGTTGGTTGGCAGAGGCCAGCGCTGAGCCCTTTTCAGGAGTTGGTGTTTTGGGGGAATCCCATGGTGGTGGTTTTCTGCTACCTTCTGGTCCTCCACCAGTCTTTGTGAAGCAGGAGGGAGATTAATGGGTATCAGTGAACTGGGACAGTTGCTGAGCAAGACCAGACTTTAGGCTCTATTTGTCAGTCTGGTATGAAGCAGATTCTGATGCTGGGCCTGCCCTTGGAGCCCTGCTGGAAAGTGGGTGAGCTTTTCTCATCTCAGAAACCAGGGGCTCTAGTCCTACTTGCTGCAGGAGTAATTAAGTAGACCTCAGTTTAAACAGCAGGTGCTTTCAGGTGACCCTCGGTATGTAAACAAATCCTACAAGCACACTGCTGTTTAGTTGTTCACTGTTCACAGTCCTTGGTCCCAGCTCAAGTTCGGCTGGGGGGTGATCTGGCATGGTAATGTCAAAGGTGAGGGCAGGCTGGGCGCCCTCTTGACACTGGCTGTGCAGGTCTGGCTGTGGTCATTCTAGGAGCAGAGCAGGTTACCAGGTGGCCTGTGGGCTGCGCTCCTGTCTAGGAGGAATCAAGCCTGCTGGGAGCCAAGCCTCCAGATAGATAGGGCAGGGGTGTGGGGACCACGTGTGGGGCTGGGAGCCGAGTCTGTCCGATTCGCTGGCTGAGGGAGGCTGGCCACAGCCCTGCACTGCTCGAGGCTGACTTCTTTGTTTGTAAAATGAGGGCTGGAATTAGTTGGTACTAAGGATCCGTTTGTGCCCTTGCTGTGCTTTGCTCAGTGCCCTGGCTAACGTTTTGAGACCAGAGGCAAGCATGGGCCGCATCTAGGGTGACATTTAAAGATGCCTAAGGCCTGAGATCTTGCTCTGCCATTGGCTTTCTCTGTGACCTGGGGCAAGTTCCTTAAACTTGAGGTTGCAGTTGCCTTATTTGTAAATTAGTAGTAACAATAGGTAAATCTTTTGAATATTTACTACGGTACCAGACATTGTTCTACATGCCTCATGTGTGTTAATTCACTCAGTCCTCACAGCAGCTTCATGATACAGGCCAGGTCATTGCCTCCAGTTTATAGGTAAATGAGTAAGCAGTGTGCCCAAGGTGACTTGACCTGTAAGTGGAGGTAGCCAGGAAGTTTGGCCATACTGTTCTGTTGCAGAGATAATACCCTCTTCTGTGCATGAAGACAGCTGACTGGAACAGGTGACCCCTTGGGCAAGAGCATGAGGTGTAGTGTTGGGGTGACTGGGTGTTCTTGTGACCTCCCACTACCACAGTGCATTTGTTCCTCAGGGAAGACATTTTCTAATCTGTCCTAAATAGGATGCAACCTGAAACATAGCAGGGCTGTATAAATTGTGAAATGTTTCATGGTTCTGTTTGTTCTGTGACAGTGCAAATATCACAGTTTCCTCGTGAAGATAGACATTTTAGCAACCATTAAGCACCACCTCACAGGGAAATCTGCCAGGACCTTGGCCAGTTGTGTCACAGACACGTTTCCCTCGAGGTTCCTCTGCAGGTCCTTGCGGGTGGCAGGCATGTGTCCTCTGTGTTGCCATGTGTGGGCACAGCAGCTTGAAGCCTTGCTGCGATTTATTTTATGTGGAGTCTTTAGGAGATGGGGACTTTGCAGCAGGTGGAGTGGTACTTAGTAATTTGCCCCGATGAGCCATTCACCCAGCATTTTCCCTGCCTTCCCTCTATCCCAGAAAGGCATTTGAAGACTCCATAGTTGAAGAGATGACAATTAGACATTTATTAGACCTTCCCTCCTTGCTTTTTTCCCTTTCTTTTTTTAAATTGACATCCTAAGAGTGATACCTACACGTGATAAAAAAAATGATTACGATTTGTGTTTCTTTGCTGTGAATGCCATCCTTACGGATTTGTATGGGTGTAGTGATGCCCACGTCTATCAGTAACGACTTCCCTCCCGCCGTGCCTGTCCTCCCGGTGCAGGCTCTCATCCTCGCTTTCCCCACCCCCTGCAGAGTACCAGTTGACCAGTGCAGAGCTCTCCTCCTTGCCAGCCTTCAGTTCACCTGGGGGGCTGTCGCTAGGCAACGTCAGTGCCTGGCAGCAGCCGCAGCAGCCGCCCCAGCCGCAGCCTCCGCAGCCCCAGCCCCAGCCGCAGCCCCAGCCGCAGCCCCAGCCGCCCCAGCAGCAGCCACAGCCGCCTCAGCAGCAGCCTCACCTGGTCCCCGTCCCTCTCAGCAATCTAATGTGAGTCCTCCCGGGATGCCGTGGGCGTGTCTAGGAAGGGCACGTGGAGGGGCAGGAAGAGGAGGGTCCTCCAGAGAGCTGGGATCGCCTGGAGGTCGTCTGTCGGTGCAGAGTCTGGGAGGCACTGAGTGACAGCCCAGGAGTCCCCTGTACAGCCCTGGGAGACCTACCCTGAGCCCTCCCCAGCCAGCCCTGGGGTGGAGGCAGGGCCGGGACTGCAGAACATGATGTGCGATAAAACTAACGTGACTTATTTCCCTTCTTTCCCCTTCATGTGGCCCTGCCTCTCTGTCTGCCCACTTGTCTCACCTTCCCCCCGCACCCATCTTCTCATTCTCTGTTCTCACTCACTCTCTGTCTTGTGACCTCCCATCACCTTTTCTGCCACTCCGCTGTTTCTGTCCCCCGGACCCCATCACCTGTCTCCAGCCCGGGCAGCTCCCTGCCCCACGTGGGTGCCGCCCTCACGGTCACCACCCACCCACACATCAGCATCAAGTCGGAACCAGTCTCCCCGAGCCGCGAGCGCAGCCCTGCGCCTCCCCCTCCAGCTGTGTTCCCAGCTGCCCGCCCTGAGCCTGGTGACGGTCTCAGCAGCCCAGCTGGGGGCTCCTATGAGTCGGGGGACCGGGATGACGGACGGGGGGACTTCGGGCCCACGCTGGGCCTGCTGCGCCCAGCCCCAGAGCCTGAGGCTGAGGGCTCAGCCGTGAAGAGGATGAGGCTCGACACCTGGGTACTGTAGCATCGCCCCCTCTGTCTGCCAGTGTCGGCTATACCCAGGGACTGCCCTGTATGCCCCCTACCCTGCCCCCCGAGACCTTCTTATCTGTAACCTCAGAGGCCTTTGGCCAGCGAGCCCTCCCACCAGCCCATTTCGGGCAGCACCGGCCCACTTTGATACCCCCAGAGGTCCCTCTCTGCCTGCCCTCAGCATCAGTCCCTCCTCCCCTTGGAGCTGGCCCTGCCACTACGGGAAGAGGGGAGTGAGGGGCACATACCCCATAGCCTGGGCCACCCCCTCACCCACTTCTCCGTCTCCTCTCTTCACAGACATTAAAGTGACGATTCCCACTCCCCTCCTCTCAGCCTCCCTGATGAAGAGTTGACAATCTCACACCGCCCACCCCTCCCTGTCCTGGGCTCCTCCCGCTCGACCCCCACTTCCTTTCTTGTGCTCCATGTCCTGTTGACGGTTACATTTGTGTATAATTATTATTATATTATTATTATTATTATATTTTTTTTAATTTGGATTCTCGCTTTGGAGAGGGGGATGCTCCCATCCCCTCTTTGTGCACCCCCCGCCATTTTCACTGGCTGGGGGGGGCTCTTTTTTGCGGGAAGGGGGGGACACTTTGCACGTTGTACACATATGCTGCAGGAGGGGGTGGGGGGCCCGATAGGCCTTTGGGAAAGGACAGGTGCCGAGCCCTGCATGCGGAGCCCTCCCACCCCATCCCCCAGATAGAGGGAAGTAACCAAAAAAACTACCAAACAACAAAACCCCTTACAAAGACTGAAACCCCAAAGTCGGCTTGATGGGTGGGGTTGTGTTTTGGGGGAAAGTGAGGCAGAGGTTCTAAAACGGATCTCTGCTTCTGGACTGTTCCTGTGGCTGCAGGCACACAGGGCAGAATACCCAAGCCTGGCCCCCAAATGCCCCTGCATGCACACAACACACTCTCACTGATTCTTATGTGAGCTGCACCCCCAAGGAGATGGGAGGCCAGCCGAGCTTTTGGGCTGGGAATCTGAGGCTGGGGATAGGGTTTGAGGCGGGGGCCCCTCTGAAGCACATTTGGAGAGAAGGACAGAGCCATGAGGAGGGGCAGAAGGGCTGGGGTGAGGGGCGAATTGGGGCCCCCTCCCTTCCCCAGCATTTTCTCTAAGATATACAGTGCAATAGCTCACCACCCCTCAGTTGACACCAGCCCTGCAAAGCTGGCCACAAAGTGCAGGGAGAACTGGGGAGAGGGACTTGAGTGAGGTGGCTCAGCAGGAGATGGCCGTGGGGCACTCAGGGGTGCCTGAGGGCCCCAACTTTGGCACCGGGGGTGGGGGTGGGAGTGGGGACTTGCTCTTCCTTGCACGTACACATCCGCAGAGGAGTGGACATTGGGATGGCATGTGAGAGAGAGGGGACTGAGGGGTCCACAGAGGGCCTGCCTCCCTCCCTCCTTGGCCCCTCTCCACACCTCCTCCCAGCTCCTTCCCATCTTGACCCCACCTCCCTACTCTTGGCGCCCTCATTGTCTTGCTACCTCCTGCCCCACCACCTCCAGGCCGCATCCCACTTTCCCTCTTGGCTACTGTAATTGTAAATAGCAACCTTTGGAAAACGTTAGCAGTGTAACAGTCCAGGAAACTGTTCTTTTTGTTGTTGTTGTATTGATATGAAATGAGATTCTATTTTTGTCAAAGTATATTGTAATAATAATGACTCAAACGGCCCGTACTGTACAGACGAGATTCTTCTGCTGTTGTTCTTGATCCCGCCCCGCCCCCTAGTCTGTCCCTCTCTGCTGACCCCCACCTTGGGGGCAGCCGAGGCATGAGGTCCTGAGACCTCAGGCTGGATCACTGACAAACTGGAGGGGGCAGGCCCCCGGCCCGTGATCCCCCACCGCCCCCACCCTAAGGGCCCGGCCTGGGGCGCTGTGGGCAGGCAGACTGGGGTCTCCCCAACCTTCACAGAAGCCCAGCTCCTCTGCCCAGGTGCGCAGTGCTCCCTTGGAGTTTCATCCTGGTGGGAACGTGGAGTTAGACAAGGCCCAGTTTGGTAGTAGGTGACTGTCTTTGCCCGCCTCTGACCCAGCCGCTTGCAGTATTCTGACACAACGCAGGGAAGGAACCAAAAGCAGGGGTACATGTGAGCACACATGTGGTGTATGTACTTACCAGAGCATATGGTATTCATGTGTCTGAGTGTACCTTATATTTATGTGCGTGTGTGTGGTTGCCTGGGCGTACCTTTGGGCATCTCTGAAGCCCATCTGGGCGTACCCGTTAATCTGTGACTGGAGCTCTGAGGGCATGTGTGTGTGTGTGTGTGTGTGCGCGCGCGGGCGAGTGCGCCTGGGTGTGTGTTTACAGAGGAATAGGTGGCTCTTGCTGCCACGCAGCCTTGGCTTCCAGCTCTGTGACCCTCCTTCCCTGCTCCTTCACCTTTTCTCACCCCAGCTCGGGGATGTTTGTAACACCGCAGCTGGGGCTCTGGCAGTTGTCCATCTTTGCTTCTACCCATAGCCCTACCTCTCTTGGGGCTCCAGGCACAATTGTCCACCCAGTCTTCACACTTCCCACACAGCTCCCTTTCATGGGGTACCCTCTTCCTCCCCAACCAGTCCTGCTTTCAGGGTGACACTCAACGCCCTCTTCCTCTCTGAACCTTTGCCTTGCCTGTGCAGCAGTCCTTACAGCTTTGTCCCTCCCGCCGACTGGGCACATAGCTTGTCGTGTTCCTGCAGGTTCCTAGAGGGGTTTCAGGAATCCATGAGACTTGATCAGGGCCTTGAAAGCAGCCAGGGTGTAGTCTTGAGCATGTGTGCAGCCCCAGAGCCTTGCCCAGTGCCTGGCACATAGTTGGCGCTCAGCAAATGTTGAATGGGTGAATGATAGGTGCTCAATAAATGTGGAACGACTGGCCTTCCCTTCTCAGGCTATTCCTGCCATCAGTCTGCCCACCTTTCCAGGCTGGGCTTGGCCACCATTAAACATGGGGTGGGGGTGAGGGCCCCTGCAGTTCACGGTGCAATATTCACCAGTTTTGCCCTCTGCCTTGTAATGGCAAACCTGGCTTTTGATTACCATGTGCGGATGTGTGTGTCCTTTCTTCTCCATCCCTGGGGGCAGGGGCTGGTCTCTGAATGAATATGTGATACTTCTGCAATTCAGTATCCCAAAGTTTCTCTTGGGGGTAGGGGTTCCTGGCTGGCCAGACGAATGGGTCCCTGGGAACCCAGACCTTGAGTGGGGACTTCTTTTCTTCTTCCTTTCACAAGCCAAATTTGCCTCCACCCACTCCTTCCTCAGAAGAACTGGGCATTTGCCAAAGTAATCACTGGAGTCATCCACTGTCCCTCCCCTCCCCAGGTTTCCCACAGCTTTCAGGGACAGGGGGCAAGAGGACCCCCCCCCAACGCCCCAGTGGAACGCACCGTTTCCCCTCTCCCCAGCAGTGCACTCAGTGCAGCCAGACTGACCCCTGACCCTCACCCAGCCCTCCCCATCTTGGACAGGAAGGAAGTAATGCACCTTCTCTTGCTGATTATTTATTTGTTTGGAGAGACAGAAATGATGTAAAAGTGTATCTAGAAATATCTATATCTATATATTTTTAACTGACTCTTTGGAATCCCCTGGGGTAGGGTAGGGGTGAATTTAGGCTTTCACGGAGGGGAGGAGGCCGGAGCCTGGGAACTCCTCACCCTCCCCTCCACCACCTCTCTCCACCCGCTAAGCAGTTGGTAGAAGGAATGGGATTTGTATGGGGGGAGGGGGGTTGGACTGTTACATGGAGAATCTGGATTCTCTGTCTTCCCCACTCAAGTCCCAGACAGGGGGAGCAGGGCGGGGGGGATAGGCCATAGAGGTGCCCCACCCCCAAACCTGACAATCACCCACACTCCTGGGGCTCCTCCTGGGTCCTGGGCAGGGCGAGTCCAAGTGTGTGGCAGTTGATTTGTTTTCAATATTTCTTTTCGTGCTGTATGGTGATGCTTTCTTAGTATTCTACACAATAAGAAAAGACAAAGTCCTCGAGATTCTTATGAGTTTTGTTTGAAAACTCTTTCACTATATTTGTTGTAAAGAGGTTTACTATTAAAAGAAAAAGAATACACGTTTCTGATACTTTGGCTTGGGGTCTGGTTTCTTTGGTGCGGTCGGCTGAGGAGGGGACGGAAGGATTATGTGGCCCTGCTGGGGCCAGAGGCCAGAGCGTTGCCTCAACAGGAAGGAATGGCGGTTAGCCTGTGGGGTGGGCACTTTAAGGTGTCTGAGGTGGAGTTACCAGGTGAAAATTTCCTCCAGGTGCACAATCGGAAGCAGGGGCAGTCCCAGGATCAGGGAGGGCTATCGGGCTAGAAGCCATAGGAGGGATCCTAGGACATAAGAAAAACAAATACCCGCCAAGTCAGGAATAGGATGGTGTGTGGTGGTGGGAGCAGCGTGGTACAGGGCCTTCCGCTGCGGGAAACTTCCACGGCCAATCACCCCAGGCCCTGTTAGGCACAGATGGATTCCGCCTTCATGGCCCCGCAGTTTACTCCAGCAGGGGCGGCTGCCCTCCCCTCCCCCTTGAAGTGCTGTAACAGTGCCAGGGAGCCTCCTCCTGATCTCCTCACTTATTCCAAAGGGCCCCCCAACCTTGTCCCTTCGGCTCTTACTCCCACCTCCCCACCCCTCACACCTGTACTTTGGGCCAATGCAGGGACTGTGGACGAAGTGCATAGGGCCTGACTCACACTAACAGGGTTTCGGCCACTCTTGTCTCCGGCCCATGCTGGGTGCTGTGGAGGCAAAGATGGAGTGAAGCAGGCCCACATGCATGTGTCACAGAGGCCTTCGCTGCATGGCAAATGCTGTGGTCCCGGCACATGCAGGCTGCAGCGAGGGCGCTTCGGAGTCAGGCGCCACAGAACGTCTTCATGCCTTGGGTTCCTCATCTGTAAAATGTGATCAGGACCAGTCCTGCCTCCTTCTTAGGCTCATTGCAGACTTCACCTCACAGATAAAAGATGAGCTTGGCAGCAAGGGTTTAAGAAAACACTAACCTCCAGATGAGGCTCCCCTGCTGGTGCCTGGGCAGCAGCTTCTCAGCTGGTCTCTAGTTACCCAATCTGGTCCTAATGTCCTTATGCAAGCCTCTGTCACGGTGAGTCACGTTTGGTACATATGACCAATAAAATGCGGCAAAAGTGATGGTATGCGACTTCTGAGGTGAAGTCCTGGCTTCCACCCCTCTCATCATTTGCCCTGGGGGAAGCAGATGCCTTGCCAAGACACTGAAGCAGCTCTGTGGAGAGGCCTGGGACAGAACTGAGGCCTCCCATCAGCCTGTTGAATGAGGTCCTCCTCTCTTCTGTCCTTAGGAGTCTCTTGAGCTTCCCGACACATTGCTACAGTTGAGAACCCACTGATGTGATATACGCTCCGCTCTCCTATGCCCATGGAGTGACCAGAACAGCCCTGACCTAACACGCAAATCCTACGCAAAGCCTCTCTCTCTTTGTACCTCTCCTATCAGTTCCTCAGACTGTTTGGCCTGCCCCTCCTTCTCTGTAGGCGCCGCCCCCTGATGTCCTGAGTTCAGGCAGTACTGCTGCCCACAAATATCTCTTGTTCTCTTCCCCTTCCTGGACACACAGAAGACTGTTTCCCAGTCACTCTAGTCAAGCAAGGTTACTGGACTTGTTCTGGCCGAGACTGTAATGGCAAGTAATGTGTGTCACTTCAGAAATCAAGCTGGGACATGATTTCCAAGTGCTCTTCCCCTACTGTGGGAACTGTGGAAGTACATCAGAGCAGCCTGGATTGCTCAGCTGCCTTAAGGTGGTGTCCAGCACCACAGTGGACTTTGTGTGAACAGAAAATAAATGTGTTAAGCCACACAGATTTCAGTATTGTGTCTGCAATCTAACCTATCCTATCCTGACTGAAGGAGTATCCATTCACACTTGGACAACCCTGAAGCCCCATTTACTGCATACTCCTTGTGGTGAGATACAAAGAGCTCTGCACTTGGCACAGTCCAGAACTGGTTCAACTCCTAGTTCTGCCACACCAGTTGTGTGGCTGTGGAATTGGAGTTGCAGAGCCACAATCTTGCTGAGTCACTGTTTCATCAACTGTGATGGAGTGATTGGAGCTGCCTATTCCCTCACCCCAGCCTCCTGTCCTCCAGTCCGCCCTCTCATCCTTGGCACAGCTCTGGTCATCTTAACACCTCAAGGACTGCCCACTGTATAAAGCCCAAACTCCTTGGCCTGCCCAGGGCCTTCAAAGAGCCAACACACTCTTTTCCAGGCTTAGCCCATGTACCCCTGCTGTGCATCCCTTGGACTCTGAGGCTGACCAGGAAGCCCAGTTCCTTAACAGATCCTTCATGCCATTCTTGTCTAAAATGCAACAGACATGTACTAAGCACCTACTTTGTGTGAAACCCTTTATTAGGCACTGGAGATTTAGAGAGGAATGGTAGGTACATCTATCTGCTTTCAGGCAACTCAGTTTGTTGGGGAGCCAAGTGAACCAACAGTTAACACTTGAGTCAGCAGCCTGTGTTAAATATCTCATAGAAAGGATATGAGTGGGCTGTGGGATCAAAGGTGAGGCACGCCCAAATCCAAGCCAGTAGAGACCAGCAGAGGCTTCTTGGAGGAGGTGTTTTGAGCTGGATTTGAAGATACGGGAGTTTCCTGGGCAAATGAGGACAGGGAAGGCATTTCTGTTATCAGGAATAGCATGTAAGGTGTGGAGAGGGAACAGTGCATTTAGGAAATCTAATACTATGGTTCAGGTCAAAGGAATATCAGATAAAGTTGAAGAGGTACGAAGAAGCCTCACTGTGAAGGCATTGCTGCTTTGGACTTTATTCTGCATAAGATCTTTGGTTGTCAAAAGATTTTAAGTAATGCCCTCTCAAAAAAAAAAAAAAAAAAGATTTTAAGTAGAGGAGGGACTTGATCAGATTTGCATTTCAGAAAGCTATCAGTGCCCGTTCCCTCTGACAGTAATGGGGAGAACCAGGTGGGAGAATGCAGAATTGAGTCCCAATGGGGATCATTTACAAATGAGAGAATGAGGTTAGTAGATATTTAATGGGTGGAATAACAGAAATTGGAAATTGCCTGGTGAAGGTAGAAGCGGAAGGGAAGGGAGGAGGGTTGATGACTCCCCAAACTTGTGCTTGGACTAGTGACTGGCAGTGGCTGCAGACAGTGTCACCAGGTATGTCAGGAAGAGATGAGTTTCATTTCAGATGAACTGAGTTGGAGATGTATATGGTATTAGATGGTCATCCTGTTTGGACCAGCAGGGTGCAGTCACCTCATGGGTAGGGAGGTTTTTCTGAAGACGGAAACCATTCATGGTACAGGTTACCTATGAAGAAGTTGTCATCAGGACAATGGGAACTCTGAGGACCATAGAGGAGGGCTGGTGGGCCAGGCAAGAAGAGACTCAGAGGGTGCCAAGCTGCATATGGGCAGTGGTGGTGTGGAGATTACATGAACCAGGGATGTAATTCCTATCTGTGATCTCTTAACTTTACTGAAGTCTCACCTGACTCACTAATCTTGTGCTTAACCTTGAACAAGGGCAAGTTCATTTGTGCATTCTTTGGGGCATCAAAGTGGGTGTGAGTACTTTACTCTCCAGGATTAACTACAGGGTTAGGCGTGAGTACGGGAGCCACTGGAAGATCTGGTTCTAAAGGCCCAACTGCTTCTTCATAGGTTCACCCAGTACAACCTGAGAGGTTGTTGGTTTTATTTTGATAGGGGAAGATAACACTTCTTTACTAGGTTTCTGAAGGATATGTGGGAGGAACCACTTGGTAGATGGCTGGCTGGATGAAGCTATGGCTCAGGGCAAGACCTAGGGCGGGAACAAGAGTAGATTTTCGAGACATCAGCCTAAAGAATTACATCCTCTCCAGGCCTGTGGCTTTGTGTGTAAACTGGTTTGCTGTGGGATTTAAGTACATGATACAGATTAAGTCACTTAAAACCATCGCCAACCCATAATAAGCACTCAGTAAGTGTTACTATTTCTTACTGCTACTTATCAAAGACATGAAAGTAGATGAGTTTACTTGGGTAAGTTCTATGGGCAAAAAACACTTCATACCCCTATTTCTACCTTTGAAACCTTCCCTATCATTGCAGATTTCACTCCTACAGCTTTCTCCCCATAAAACTTTTCCTGATTTCCCCTGTTCTACTCAGCTGGCTGTGATATCCTGCTCTAAGAGGTGTCTTAGGCACCTACCTCATTCTAACCAAAAGTGTAGGTTCTAGTGCCTATTTTCTCTACACCACTGGATTTAAGTGCCTTAAAAAAATGCACTGCCTTACCCATTTTTGTGTCTGGCTCAGTGCCTGGTACACAGTATGTGTTCAGTCAGACTAAAATAAGAAAACGCATGTGAAAGTGCACTTTATATAAACTACAAACCTGAAGGATTTTTTTCTTCATGGGCGTGGTGGCCTTTCTGCAGCTTCTTTCCAACTCCAGGACCAGCTCCTGAAGGAGCGCTACATGCAGTGGTGTTGAGAAGCCGGTGCGCCTTCGTTTCCTAGGTTTAGCTATTGGTCCACTGAAGAATTAGCACCCACGAGGCTCATACTCCCCAAGAGATGGATCTTGGGAGGCAGGAAGCGAAGGGTGGTATCTGATTGTTCCAGCGAAGGAGGCCAGGCCAGTTCCCTGTAGCTCATGTTCTTCTGACTCACTCTTCAGTCCCATGGGCTGAGTAACTTTTCCAGCCTTGTGATTGTGGAAACTTGTTTCAGGAACAGCCAGCGGATGTGAAAGGGACATAAGGCGACCCCACCCCAGGCCTCAAAGTGGCTCCTACTGGAGCCAATACAGACTGCTTGTTTCTGTTTGCAGAGTTAAATAATTTTGTGTCCCTGCTCGCTTAAGGGGCACATTGAGTCTGCTGCCCTATTTCACAGTTGGTAAACCCAAGCCCTAAAAGGAAGAGGTGGCTCTCAGGTTCTTTCCACAGGGACTCGGAGTTCCCTGCTAGGTCTAGTTCAGATCAGTCTGGAGGCCCAGGATTTATTGCTTCCTGTTGGTTTGATTTGCAGAAGGCGCTAGGTCCCCCTCAAGTCCGGCTGGGAGGGAGCTTTGTACTTGTTTCCACGTACTTACAGCTCTTAGGCCTCGCTTCGGGCAGTTTGGTCTCTCGAGAAGTGTGGTCCCCACCTAAGCAGCGTGGCTGCCCAGAGTCATTCCTATTTATTGTGCATCAGCCGCCACGTGCCCAATAAAAGCTGGTGATGAAGCTCTGGGTCCGAGGGGGCAAGCGGAGAGCCGGCCTAGCGGGAAGTCGCGCGCTCGCCAAGCTCCGCCCTCACGTGACCGCGGCACCGGTCCGCGCCCGTCACTACACTCCCCTGGGAGACGAGGTTGGCACCGACGCCGTGGCGCCCGGTCTCTGCGCCAGAGCCAGGCGGGGACGACCAAATGGCTCACGGTTCGGGGAGAGAAATCTCCATCTATGGCGAAGGGGAGGAGGGGAGGCCAAAAGCAATAAAGGCACTTGGTTAATCTGCCTCTTTAGACTATAAACTCTCATGGAGGCAGAGATGACCATTCCAAAACCTCGGTAAGTGTCTGACACACACAGTAGGTGTTCCATAAATGGCTGATTGGCAACTGCCCCTTGGACACTGCAGAAAGTGCCCTTTACATCGGTCTCCTTACTCCCTCATCCACCCTCCCCGCTTTGACATGGCAAATAAAGCAGCAGTCGTTCGGCAGCACGTGAGCCAACACTTCCGAACGTACTGCCATAGCGCAAAACAGTCCTCAACCAGTTTGTCCCCGCGGCGGTGGGTGTGGACAAAGACTCAAATCCGCCCCTAGGACACCCCCACCATTGGGCGGGACGTGGACCTTGAGGCTTCACTTCATTGGCTGTTCGAATGACAGATGGGATTATTAACCAACCGCAGCATGGAAAATACGCATGCGTACAGAAAAGATCGAGTCCCTGTATGGGATAAAACCGAGCGGAGCGAACCAAGTTTGGCTAGGTTTCACCCGAGCCTGGAGGAGGAGGTGCGCACGCGTACACGTAACCGCCTCTCCCTCCCAGGGCAACGTGAGGGGGCGATAGCGCCCTCTGGCCTCCTGGCCGTTTCCCGGGCGTTCGCCCTCCGTCAGCGCCGCCGCCCGCCCTGCGGCTGCGAGAGCCCCGGAGAAAGCCAGAATCTCGGTGCCTGCCTTCGGCGGCAGCACGACCATGCCCAAATACAGCCAGGGAGCCGGTGGCCCGGCTCTGTGTGCAGAGGCCCCTCTGGAAGCTGTAGGCCAACGGTAACGTGAATATTAATGTGAGGACGAGGCCTCGCTGTTTACTGAGCTTTATATCCATTACCTCACGAGTTCCTCATAAATACCTCTCCACTTGGGTTAAAGAAGCGGAGGCGAAGGGAGGCGAAGGGACGAGACCCAGGACACTGCCTGTGAGGGGGAAGCCGGGACCGGACCCCGGGCCGCCCAAGTCCCCACTCAGTGCTCTTCTACCGTGATGAGCGCCTCTGCTCTCCGAGGAGCTTATGGTCTAGGCGAGGTGATGACACTTAAGATACAGGAAAAGTGAAGGTACAGTTTCAACCCATTTTGTTACATAGACGATGAGTGCTTAGAGGCGTTCTGAGCGGGAAAGATCCCTTTGTGCCCTTGTGATCTGAAAAGGTGGCGTGAATAAGATGAACATTAAAAGTATAATTGGATTGGATAAATGGTAGGAACATAGTATAGAATGAAAAAGGAAATCCCAGAACGCTACAGACATTTGAAACTATTTTTATAAGTTTCAAAAACATACAGAATTAAACAGTATTGTTTAAGCATATATGATAAAACGTTTTAAAAAGCAGAAGAATGATACACGCAAAATTCATTAGTGGTTACCTTGGAGAGAGATGGGGATAGGATGGGAAGACCCAGGTGGATGCTATTGGTAGTGTTCTAGTTACTGGGTTAAATGGTAGATTTATGGGTATTTCATTCTGTTTTCTTTATAATACACACATACAGCAATGATGCTTTTGTAAATATAAAATAGAATTCATAAGATGATAGTGGAGTCACCTCTTCCCTTCCCCCCCAAAAAAGTTTTACATGGTTGGAGAGAGGGGAGAAAGCCTTACCTGTAGTACATTTGTTTCCAGAGCATTTCTACACATTTTATCAGTTGATCCTAAGGAACAGCCCTTTAAGATATTATCTCCAAATTAAAGACGAAGAAACACCACTGAAAATTAGTTAAGGCCAGTGAACAAAGACAAGAAAGGTGGGAATGCAGAAGGCCAGTGGGGAGTCCTGGGCAGCTTAATCTCCAGAGCATCAAGTGCTCTGCCTGGAACAGAGAACATGCTCAGTAAACACTTGAGTTGGGTGAGTGATTGAAGTTTCTAATTACTTGAGTGTCTAGTGGTGAAACAGCTGCCTTCAGAGCAGAGTACCCTGTACAGTAGCGGGCTGACCATTGTCAGGATCAGGAAACTATAGAGGCGATTCTCTCTCTGGGTGAGTGCTCGATATAGATAACCTCTAAGATTCTTTTCAGCTCTTAAGTTTCTATTCATTTATCAGAGGCTGCAGACAAAACCGTATTAATAAGATTCCCTACTAGGGTAGTAGATGTAGTCACCAAAGAAAGGCCTGGATGAAAGAGACATTTTGAAGAACAAGTAAATAGGCTTTACTGGAAGAATAGATGCTAGGAGTGTTGTAGTTGTGTTGTCTGTGGCTATAGAATGTTGATCCATCCCGACTAGAAGAATGGTTGTACTACTGACTTAAGTAAAACAAGGTGGTAGTGAGCATTCATTTAGAAATGCCTGGCAGGTAGTTGACACTAGAGTAGTGCTCAGGGTAAATAAGGGCTGAATACAGATGAATTCTGGAGTTTGACCTAGGAGATCTTATTTCTGTAACTGTCAAATTGGTCAAGTCACTCTATTTCCTCATATATTAAGAAACATATATACGCCACAAGAACTAAAAAAAGAATATGTCCTAACCCCTTTTCAAGATCTAGTTAAATCTCCTCATATAGTTAAATGTACATGTATCCACCATTGGAACTTTACTTTCCTCTGTTGTCCCATAAATCATGTTTTTTTTTCAAGGTTATGGAACTTATACCACATTTTACTTTGTGCACATGTGCTAGAAGTGAACTCCTTGAGAGAAGTTCCTGTCTTCAAGTTTATATTCCTCCGCAGTACCTTGTACAAAGCAGGAGCTCAGTAGATGTGTGAATTGCACAGAATTGTGTGGCGAAGTAGAAAGCATTGTTTAATGCCTCTGAGACCTAAATTTCCGTATTTCTAAAGTAAGCTGGTTAATCTAAGTTCTTCTGAGTTATAGAATTCTCAGAAGAGAATTATCCAACTATGTTCTATGGATCAAGAAAATTGAACTCTCTGATTTCTAAAGTCCTTTCCAACTCCAATATTCAATGATTTTATAATATTGAGTTGCAAATAATCTCACAGAAGTGATAGTTGATCAAGTTCCCCAAGGGAAACATGTAGAAGAAGATTGCAACCAGAAGCAACACCATTATCCCATACAAGAAAGAGAAGCCATTAAAAGTGACATAGAAGCTCAGTCTGAGAAGTAGGAGAGATAATAATAGCAAGGGTGACAAATTCAGATGCCTAAAGAGCCAGACAGATAACATAAATGAGTGAAGTCACCCTGTGGTAAGTATTAGGGAGTGGTGGAGACTGGAGACTATCTAAAGAAGTCAGGGGTCTTGTGTTACCAGTGTCTGTCTTGGTATGTGTTCCAGTTTTTAAGATGAAACTGGAGATCCAAACTTTTGTTTGAAGTCTCATGATTTTTTGTCTTTTCTCTGGCTTACTTTAATATAAGAACACAGTACATAATATATATACATAAATATAAGTGTTAATAAACTGTTTATGTTATCAATAAGACTTCCAGCTATTAGTAATTAAGTTTTTGGGAAGTCCAAAGTTATACACAGATTTTTGTGCAGAGGATTGGAATTTTACAACTGGAAAAAAAAATCTCAGTGTTGACAGTCAAATTAGATTATTTAAAAATTCTAAGTAAGTAAAAAAGAGAAAACAAACAAAAAACCCACATACATAGGCCAAATTTGTGGGGCTACCATTCTTAACCTCTCTAGTGTAATACCAAGGAGGAACTCTTTTCCCACCCTCAGTTCATACATGCTTAAGTATAATTTTGGTTGAAGAGCCTCCTGTTTCTGTTGATAGCAGTTCTGTGATATCAGTCACAGCCCTTCTTGGTACTTCCAAGACTTTGTACCATTAATTATCCCCTCATTCTCCTCTGTTTTCAGTTTCTCCCTTTCTATTTGCATCTTCCCTTCACTGTAAGAATATGCTGAAGTCTTTCCACATCCTGAAAATACTGCTTTGTTCTCCTAAAAATTCCTCCTAGGGACTTTCTAGAAAGTTCTTTCTCTCTTTTTCCCTTCTCCAACAAATTTCTTGACAGCATCAATTTGCTATTTCTACTCTTTCTTTTCCCATTATAAGTTGGTTTCATTCCTCAACTCACTGTAGTTTAAGGTGAGCCTCCACCACTGCATTGAAGCCTTTCTGACCAGGTCAAAGGTATCTGTTGTTAAAGTCATTGAACTGCTCCAACTAGGCTAAACTTCCTCACACTCAGAGATCAAGTATTAAAGTTTTTTTTATTTTATCACCTAAGAGGTGTTCCATCAGTGTTTATTGAACCAAATGGGAAGTGTGTTTTCTTCAAAAAGGAAGGATGGTCAGCATCAACAAACTTGTGGAAAGATCAAAGACTGTGTTGGCCAAATTAAACCCATTGGATTTTAAGATTAGGAGAGTATTGGTAACTTTTGAGAGGACAGTTTCATCAAAGGGAGTTGGAAGACATCCTGCTGTACTTTATAAGGTAGAGGGTCATAAAGTGATGACAGAGGGTGTAGATCATGCATTGGCGAAGTCTGGCAATATGGAAAGAAAAATCAAGCAGGAGGTACAAGAGACAACAGTGCCAATTAGAGTTCTTAAGGTTGAGAAAGTTCTGGCATATCTGTAGGTAAGGGGGACAAAACCAGTGGCATAGGAGATGTTGAAAATGCTTGAGAAAGGGAACATTTGGGAGTGTACCATCAGAAGTGACAGGAGAGAACTGAATCAGCCAATTGAAGGGTTTGGTTAGCCTTTGCAAGGAAGTGAGAAGTCACCTCCTCTGAAGTAGGCAGATGGGTAAAAGGCAGAAGTCAATTATATACAGACTTTTGAGGTGGGGACTGGTGATACACGAGAGCTCCTGTGCATTTTATCAGTAAGATGGAAGCAAGGTTATGTCTCCAGTTCTGGGGGGATAGAGCAGAACTACAGATGTTGGCAATCTCAGAGACATTGTTATTTGCTGGCCAGACTGCTTTTGCTCACTCCCAATTGTTTCCTGGGGGTTCTGTCTTTGCCTGCCCCCTCTTCTTTACTCCTGTTCATGGAAGTGTCATCTACTGACGTTTAAGTAACCATCCAAATGCTGAGACTCTCAAACTGTGACTGTAGCTTAAATCCCTCTTTGGGCTTCAGATCTATGTATCCAGCTACTTATATAACATATCCACAGTGTGTTTAATAGGTTAAATTGAACAGGAACTCAGTATCTCCTACTGAAGTTGTTCATTTCTCCTAAGTTCTTTATCTTAGCTATGGTCACAGTACTTTTCCAAGCCAGGTACATGTCTTCATCTCTCCCTCTCTCTCTCCAAATGTGTGTGGGTAGATAGGTATTTAGAAGAATAAGAACG